GAAGAGTGCTTGTACCTCTGTCCCTGGGAAGCAAAGCTGACTCTGAAATCAACTGAGAAACATGAAAGACCACTGTAAAGCTGGTCATTAAACCCCACAGTAAACCTAAGAGCCAAAAAGCTCACCCTGTTCCGTATGTGATTACGACTAAGGTGGAAACAGAATCAGATTGCCTGGAGTACTGAAGAAGGTGCGTGTTAGTGAGTGGGCCATGCCCAATTGTTCCTGTATTAAAAAATGCAGCAATTTCAAGGCTACAGTCCAACCCTGTTTTAACTGGGAACAGTACCTCTTGCTGATATTTAAATCTTTTTGGTGGATTAGCTGGAGGCCAGAAATTCAGCAAAATAGATTTACATCAAACTCACCACCAAATGCAGGCTAATCCTGTTGCCCAAGAGCTGTCGAATATCATGACACACAAAGGCCTGTATAGATATCAGTGGCTACCTTTCGGAATAACTTGGGCTCCAGCATTGTTCCAGTATGCAATGCATGGAGAGCCACATGTTTCTGGTGATTGTTGGCCTTTATGGTGGGAAAAGCTTGCCGCCTGCTCAGTCTACAGCGAGACAACTCCTGACTGCTGTACCTGCTTGCATGAAGGAAATGTCCCGCTATTGGTATAGCCCCTTTAAGAGCAAGCTCCCTACCAAGGGGTATTCCATTTTGGATATTCAAGGGATGGGAGAGTTGGGGTTGAGTGGAGTCTTCAGTGGCCTATCACCTCCATCTGAATTGGCACTCTGTTTCTGCCTTCTCTCAGATTTTGCTGCCAAGCAAGATGGAACAACTGACTGCGTCAGTCAATCAGAGGATGTATAAATACGCTGGGCAGTCCGTGTGCTTACTGAATGCAGTGACTTTACTGTCAGCATACCAAGCAGACATTTTGGTGGAGATGGGGTGACAGCTGGACTCGGGAGCGCCGAACCCGGCATTCTTGGACAAAATCTGTGTGATGAAGGATTTGATTCCGCACTCTTCCCGCAGCATGGTTCAGGGCCATGGCCATGTGATGGACTTGGCGGTGTCAGGTGAGAGAGCGTTATGGCTAAATCTGTCAGACTTGGGCGACATGCAGAAATCAGAAGTAATAGATGTGTCTTATGACCCCACTAAGGGTCTGTTTGGTCCTTTGCAGCAGCTGCGGCAGCAAGGAGACCAGTGGGGGCTGGGGGTTTAAGACCTGCTCACAGCGGGCAGCAAGCTGGCCAGCGACCATGAGCGGATGGCTCTGGACCTTGGGGAAACCATCCAGCTAAAAAACTGTCCTCTCCAACCCAAGGAGATGAAGAAGCATGCGACCTGACATGCAGATATTCCCCGGCCCTTCTCTCTCTGCCCGCAAAGAGAAGAAGATGGAAATACAGCCTTCTTGGTCCCATAAAGGCCCATTCAGTGATCTCTCCTCAGGTTCAGAGAGATGAGAGAGCTCAGGATCATGGTCAACAGTGCCACCAAGCACTCACACAGTGTTTTCAAACACATTTCAGTTTGGGTGAATTGACTAAGAATGCATTATCGCACTATGCTCACCCAGACAGGATAGGTGGAATTTGAATGCAGCAGGTCTGCCTCCATCAGTCGTACTTACTGTACTATACAGAGTCCAAGAGCCTTCTCTACTTGCTCACTTTATAGCAATAAATGGCAAGTCTTTGAAGATTTGCATGAGTCGTATTGTCCCATTTCAAAGCTCAAAGAGGGACATTTTATGCTTTCTCTAACATTTTGTAGATAAAGGGAAGGCTTTCTCCACCATTAATGTGTATATAGAAGCTATTTCAGCCTGTCATGCAGGTTTTGGCATAAAAATCGGCAGGGCAGCACCCTTTAAGAAGCCATTTTATGAACAGGGCATGCCGGAAATGGCCAGTGTCCAGGCAGATGGTTCCTTTATGGAATTTATCCATCATCTTATAAGCCATTTTCCAACTCTCTTTTGAGCCATTAGATGCCTTAAGATGGTGCTGCCTGTAGCTTTATTTATAGCTAAGCGTGCGGGTGACTACAGGCTATGTCTGATAGACTGTCTTGTTCACAGTTCGCTCCAGGGCTCATTAAGGTTTCCTTTCACCCTAACCCTGCTTTTGTGCCCAAGGTAGTGGACTTGGCATATAGGTGTTCATCCAAGCTCGCAGCTTTTCACCCTCCATTTCACCCTCAAGTTAAATTCCTTATGTCCGGTATCAGCTCTTCATATATATGTGAAATATATGACCAGCTGTTTGTGTCCTGAGCTACTCCTCACAAAGGGAAGCCATTATTTTATCAGTGGCTGTCTCATTGGATCATAGAGGCTATATCTTTTGCTTATACAGTAAGTATAGTCAACCAAAATGCCGTTACGCTTAGGTTTTGTTGTACCAAATGGCTTGCCACATATTTTTGTATGGTTTTATGGACTGGATGTATCTGAGCCATATTTAGCACATGCAGTGCTAGGAACTGGCAGGTCTGAACCCATGTAATTGCTGTGGATGATAGCAGCAATATTGGTGCAATCTAGGAGTGGTCAACATCTCCCAAAGTGAAACACAGAACAAAACAAATAGACATCATTCAGTAGTCCTAGAGCTGTACATTTGAATACATTTTTCCTTAAAGGTGCATTCAGGAGAAAAGTTTTACACATTAGGAAATAAATTGTGTTTTTGAAGATTAGTCATCTGAATGGTATACAATTCATCAGATGCACACTGTACTCATAATAGTCACAATACAACACACACAAGGTGGGAAGATTTGGTGATGTAAAAAATGCTAAGTAGTGACACCCGAGTTGCTTCTTTGATGTTGTTCAGCTAAGAGAAATAATTATTGTGTAGACTGCTCTCTAAAACTCACTGGTATCAGAGTCATTTACATAAACTCAGAGACGACAGTGCAGCGTCTAACCATATATTGTTATTAAAGTAAAGAACAGAGATGCTAACACTAGCTCAACAACTACTGAACGCGCATTTAATCTGCCATAGTTAGCATCTGTAAGACATAGCATATATGTACTATGTGTATTTAGAAAATTCACCATTTGCCAAATGATGTTGCATGTAAAATGTATTATTATGAGTGGCCAAAAATATGCACCTTTTTATACTTTTTAAACTCGTAAACACGAGTTTTGTTTCTATAGAACTTTACAGCATAAATGGAGCTTATAGTTCATTGTTATGCATTTATAACTTCTGCCATTCATGTAGAAGCTAGTATATAGGATGATGTCAGATTATATCATCTGTTTGCAAAATTACAATTCTGACAGTTTCATATCCTCAGTCATCACTGACATCTTTGGGGTTGGTGAAATATCTGTCTGAGCAGCTAAACTTGTTTGCTCTGGGCATATGAGCAGTTACGCTATATCAAAAACAGGAAATCTGAACAGAAAAATCTGCGTATTAATCATCATGGTTGCAGCCAGAAGGATCTTACAACAATGAACAATGAAATTCTATTCACAGTTGTTTCATTTTAAGTATGTGATACATGCCGGTGGTCATGTAGGCCAGTGGTTTACGCTGATTTCGCTACAAAACCAGTTGCAAAGGGAAACAAAATGTCCTTAAAATCTATGAGCATGTCTTCAATTTTGGTAAATGATGTCATAGACCCTTGTGATTTTGCGTATGGTCAACATGTTACTTGAAATCTGATAAATGTATATCCATTTTACGACAAAGCAAGATTCAGGTTGTAAAATGTTGTGGTACAACTTCAATGAATGCAATTCATAGTATTTGTATTTTTTTTAAACTTGGAAAACACACACGTACTCATGTTGGCTTTCCATGTTTTATGGGAACATTCCATAGACATAATGGTTTTTATACTGTACAAACTGTATTTTCTGTATCCTTACCTTAACCCTTCCCTTAAACCTACCCCTCACACAAAACTTTCTGCTATTTTAGATTTTCATTAAAAAAAACAAAATCTTCATTTGTATGATTTATATAAGCAAGGACATGGATTTTGGATTTTTTTTTGTTCCCATGGGTATACCTAAACTACACACACACACACAAACACACAGACATGTTCATGATGGTTACAACCCATGACACTTTAAGAGTTGTTAAATATTTTCTTGAAACATTTCTAAGAATTTGGCACGTGTTTTGAATTAGATTTACAAAATATTTATTCCTTTTCTTGATCAGGAACACACTTATGTATCATTGACCAACATGTTAACCGTTAATTGGCTTATTTACATCAGATTTTATATTGCATTTGTTTTATATTGCATTTCAGTTGTCAGTATGCAGCATACTGTAAAGTATAAAACCAGTGGTCCATCGAGTTCTCTCAAGCTGTGTTTAGAGCACTGGAGTATGTCCAAAATATAAAAATACAGTCACAGGCCATAATTTCACATGTGTGTATCTGACAGTTCTGTATAGTCCTATACATAAGTATATGGTCACTGTGATTTTGCCAAGTAAGACATGTTCCTGGATCAACATCTTTTGTTGATCCTGGATCAACATTATTGTCCAAAAATATAGACCTAACCCTATCCCTGTCCATAAACCTAACCCTACACATAATCTATCCCTAAAATCAGAGGGAAATGATGGTTGAATAACAAGGATGTAGAAGCACCTAACTCTGGTTGTAAGGCTAAAATTGACATTTCCTGTTAACATATCCCTCAATTCTGATTGGTTGATTGGAATGTTGTTCCAGGATCAACATGCATGAAAATCACATTCACCATAAGTATACATAGATTATGTTTAAGTTCTGAGCCTTTCACTGTTACCAAACTAAACAAATAGCAGTGTGTGGTTTGTCTGAACAATGCAGTGAGACAGTGGCGTTGCGTGATTTAAACTCTTGTTTGGATTACTACGCACTGATTGTAGTAGGGATTTTGTAAGGCATTGTGCAAGGTTTGGTAGAGACCCGGAAGTTGCATAAATGTTTACTTGTCACATCGTCGTCATGGGAATTCCCTTGACCAAGCCCTGGTTTACTCACATCCATCCAGTATTTAAGGCACAGTACCACAGATGCCAGAGTAAACACAGACTGTGACATTACAGTAACTGGACAAGAACATCTGTGCAAGGTAATCTCTATGTTATGTTATGTTATGTTATGTTATGTTATGTTATGTTATATGTTATATAGTTGTTAACAGAATATATATATATATATATATATATAGATAGATAGATAGATAGATAGTTATATAGATAGTTATTTTATTTTTATTTTTTTTGCAGGATGAAGACATTACATGCAATGCTACTGATGCTGTTTGTTGCATCAGTCTTTTCAAAAGCAGTAAGTATTAAGTAATATGGTTTATTTTTTAAGGATTTAAAAAAAAAAAAAAGAAATAAAAAGTGTTACTGTTAATAACATACAGCATACAGTTTATTATTATTAATGAAATTATCAACTGTTTAAATCCTCAGTTTCATTTGCGCAGAAGATTTGATTCATCAGACTCTGTGCGATCTAGATTCAGTTCAGAGGAAAATGATTCAAGCAGAGAAGACAGGGAGGATTCACATTAGATTACTACGCACTGATTGTAGTAGGGATTTTGTAAGGCATTGTGCAAGGTTTGGTAGAGACCCGGAAGTTGCATAAATGTTTACTTGTCACATCGTCGTCATGGGAATTCCCTTGACCAAGCCCTGGTTTACTCACATCCATCCAGTATTTAAGGCACAGTACCACAGATGCCAGAGTAAACACAGACTGTGACATTACAGTAACTGGACAAGAACATCTGTGCAAGGTAATCTCTATGTTATGTTATGTTATGTTATGTTATGTTATGTTATGTTATATGTTATATAGTTGTTATGTTATATAGTTGTTATGTTATGTTATGTTATGTTATATTATATAGTTGTTATGTTATGTTATGTTATGTTTATGGCTTTTTAATTTATCTTTATTAGTAGTAACTGAATAATCAATGAATACAAGCAAGCAGAACTTATTAATACAACTTTTAATCTGTGGTAAACACTATTTGAATGAACCAGAATATATATATTAAATCCTCAGTTTCATTTGCGCAGAAGATTTGATTCATCAGACTCTGTGCGATCTAGATTCAGTTCAGAGGAAAATGATTCAAGCAGAGAAGACAGGGAGGATTCACAGTCGGATGAGACATCTGAATCAAACGGGTCTAAATCAAGTGATTCTGACTCTTCGGAGGAAGATATCAGAGTTGTGTCAAGCACATTCCCTCCAGCTAGCACAACAAGTCCATCGACCGCTGGCAAGACAACAGCAACCCCATCAACTACCACGGCACAAGACATCACAAACTGTGTTACTGTGGATCTGACACCTAAGAAGGGGTCATAATGATAATGTCAATATAATACCTTGCAGTAATACTGTTTAATCATCTTTTCATGCAAAACAAACAAAAGTTGAATGGTGTACAATTCACTGGAGCTTACAGTATAAAGTAATATTATACTGTAGTGTAATATTATACTGTATTATACTGTAATATTATATTATAGTGCTGATAATGATGGTCTTGACACTGAATGATGTAACTTTTAAAATTATTTACTTTTAAATTGCATGTCCCCATTATGGTTTTAAGTGTTCATTTAGAATAAAAAATCTTTCAAGTGCAATTGTCATAACAATTTTATGATTTCACACCTTTCAATATTATGTAAGAAAAAATAAGCCATCTTTTCTAGTGGGGTTTATTATTGGTAGTACTTTGTCTGAAATGTATAAATCTTCTGTCTGATATGAGAGTTCAGTATATTTTTGCAGCTTTTTCAGTAACCAAATGAATTGTTATTATTATTATTATTATAGCATTAGTTTAAATTACATCTAACCTACTATATACTAATTTTCTAATGTAATAACGCTCTAATAAATAAGCTCTAATAATTAATAAATCCCTTTATTTATTTGTTTGTTTATTTATTTATTTGTTTGTGCATGTGTGTGAGAGAGAGAGAGATCAAAAAAGTAGGATTAACAGCACCATCCTATGAAATTTTTAATCTCAACAATTTACATCGCGATAGATTAGTTTAGCATGATTTGCATGCACTGTATGTGCTAAATATTTAACTCTACTTTTTTTTCATAATTATTATATTTTTAAAATGTGAAATCTATGAAATTGAAATATTTTGAAATTGCTTTTGAAAGAAGCTTAAATAGTTTTGCCAGTATTGGACTTTCTTTCTTCCTTTTTTTATTATTTATTTATTTTTATTTTTTTATTTTTTTTGTAGACTGTTTTATTTTACATCTCAGCCTTATACTCAAATCAAAATGTGTGTTTTTGTTGTTAGGTTAATTATATATGAAAAGCCAAATGTTTGGTTGGGTTTGATAGCTCTGTGATTACCAGACGTAATTAAACCTACTGTACGTCGAGAAGAGCATCACATTAGTGAAGCAGAAGTAATGTGCACCCTGCTGTTACTTTGTCAGCACCAATGTCATTTGTGGTAAAGAATTAAACATTTTATTTAGTATAGTATTTATTTTTGTAAGAAATGGCCCAGACTATCTGCACACCCAGAGCAGGCTAATTACAGAGCACTAGACTCCTCCAAACTTCAAAGTTTGACAAATATTTGTCTGAAGCCTGCACATCAAGACATTGGCAAAAGAAAAGCACAGCTGTACAGCTGTGTGATACATATGAATGTTCACTTTTAGAAATCAAAAGGGTTTTGACACATATCTAAAGGTAAGTCTTGTAATTTAGACACTCGTATTGCTCTAACTAGTCGAAAGGTATTTCTGTGTGCTTTTTTCACATTTTATTATTTCAAATATATTATATCAAAGCAAATTTTACAAAAGTGGTTAGAGTTTATATGTGGTTTAGAGTGTTCTAGGTCATTGCTATAAAGTTTATTACAGGTCTAGATGCTAAAGTGTTGATGTTTATATTATATATATTAATAAACACATACACATATTCCCCCCAATAACTATTGTTTTAGACAAGAACATACAGAATCGAAAGCTGGAATCTGAAATCACAAAATTAATCATATGTAATTATTTCAATATATCTGCACTCCCTGTTTCTGGTATTAAAAATAATCATTTAGACTGTCATAGTTACAGCAGAAATGCCAGAAGAAATATCTTAGCCAATATGGGGGCCTTTGGATGTTGTGTTGGATCTCAAAAAGATCTTGATCATATGGCTGGGTTTGTGAAGAAAAAAAAAAACTTAAACCAGCCTAAGCTTGTTTGCTGGTCTTAGCTGGTTTAATCTGAGCTCCCAATGTGATCATCTGAAAAGTAGCCAAAACCCCTCTAAAATCACAGGAACACTAACTTAGACCAGCAAACCAGTTTAGGCAGGGTGTTTTTTTTTTGTTTTTTTTTCCCAGCAAGCCATTTCTACTGTATACTGTAAATCTATGAGGATTTTTGCTGGAGCTAAACGTTGTAAGAAATTGCACTTTCCCAGGAGACAAACTGACAATGTGAATGGTTTACTGGATATTACTGTAATTCTGTCAAATCTGAACACTGCTTTATCTTGTATATTTTCTGTGTATGGAGGAAACACTGCATAACTGATATAGGTCAACATTTATTCATAAATGATCAGTCATTACATACATAAAGCAGTATAAAATTACATTTACATTAAGTTTGTAAATAATTGTGCAATGAACAGGAAGACATCGTTGAGATGAAACTGCATCTTAACAGGTTCGGCAGCAGTTCAAGAACTTCTATGAACCGTATTTTTGTGCTCTGCCGTTTGTCTAACTCACACTAACATCAGGTGGAGTGAGTCACCAAGCACCATGCAATTAATACATTTGCATTCGTTTTTGTCGACAGCCCGTTGAGGGTTTGTGCTCGGATACATTTACTTTGCTATGATAACAGTAGCGTCGGTGGTCTGGGTGGTCTCCTCATCCGAGTCGCTCTCCTGGCTCTCTGTGCTCTGTGAGGAGTTGTCCTCGCTCTCTGCAGCTCCAGGCGTGGCTGTGGTCTCCTCGCTGCTCGGGCTGCTATCTGACTCCTCTTCATTTTGCTCCTGGCTGGCACTGGCGCTTGTGCTGTCGTTGGGAGTGTCGCCAGCACTTGCCCCCTCGCTGTCTGACTCTGCTGTAGCATCCTGGTTTCCGGTGGGAACGATCTCTTGGCTTCTCAGAGTAGCCTGGCGGTCGTTTGGCTCCATGTTCTCCACCTCTGGGGTGCTGGTGTCGTCCTCCTCCAGAGGAGTATCATACACCTGCAGAGCCTGAGAAACGAACATCTCAGCTACAGTAGCTATGTTTCCATCCAAAGTTACGAATTAAACGTATGCGCAAAATTGGAATATCGCATGAAACCTTTGTGAATAAACCACCGTTTCCATCCATCGAGCTGAAAAGAACAAAATCGTCACTTCCTAAATACCTTGCGGTAAATATCACGAAGAAAAATTTTATTTGCAGCAGTAGGAGAAGGCACTGTATAATAATTTTTGTATACAATAAACTACGAGCTTCAGAGCACGCAGACGAAACATGGTCATGTTATCTTATTTTCGGAGCCTGATGTTAGGCAACGCAGTTCTGGGAGTTAATTACAACGAAGCACTTTGACGAGACTTTGCTCAAGCATTACAGATGCTGTGAAATGAGATCGGTCCGTTGGTTGGTCCAGTTTTATGCTGTCCCATTGAAAAGTCCCATGTCTTTTTTGATGCACATTAAGGAATTTATTCGGTAAAAGTGTTGCCATCATAGTTTATGCGCATGTTTTCTTACCGGATAAGAATTTTATCCTACTTACTGTAGTTGAGCGCATAAGTTTTTTTTTATGCACATCTTGGCATTTCCATCCAGCGTTTTTTTTTTTTTTTTTGGATGGAAACCTAGCTAGTGATTCTGGTTTTCTTGTATTCATTTTTTGTTGATTTGAGGTATAATTCATGTCTGTTGCATAAGCAGTACAGGAGAGTTACACCCCATGTTTGTTGAAGCTGTAGTCATTGTTGGGGAATCTACTTTGAAAGAGTAACTTGCCTAGTTATAATTAAATGTTGTAATACTACAGTCAAGCTACTGCTTAAAAAAAACCTTAGCTAAGCTATAAGTTATAAACAACAAATAGCTAACTAGAATGGCAGTATGTTTTTATGTTTTAAAAAAACACCAGAGCCATATTTTTACTCATTCTACAACAATGGCAGTTTTTAAATGAATGAACAATCTCAGTATGCTACTAAATACGTACAACAACAACAAAAACTAATCATCAAAGTCAAAAACATAGTACATAGCCTACTTTAGAACAGGGAGTCAAACTGGAGAATAATTTTTGTGAGCATGTTAAGTTGAGTGAATCTTCCGTGGAATCTTAAGTGAATCGATTCACTGGAATGAATCAGATTTTCCAATACTACATAGCAGAGAGGCCCGTTTAGGATGAATCGATTCCCTAGAACAATTTGGACTTCCCAATGCTAATTCTACATACAGTACGACAGAGAACCGTTTAAGATTAATTGATTTAATAATTGATTCACACATTCC